AAAAACTGGACATCAGGCAACCTAGCCTAACTGTAAAACTAACTCCACTCGCATCACTGGAGTCATATCACTGAAAATCCAGAAAAACTGAGGACAGAATTTGGACCATGACCTTAATTTTTTTTTTTATGAAATCCCCAGAAAGTACAATTTACTCAGCTTCACTTCAGAGAGACAAGGTGGGTGAGGTAATATTTTTTATTGGACCAACTTTTGTTGGTGAAAGAGACACGCTTTCGAGCTACACAGAGCTCTTCTTCAGGTCTAGGAAAGGTACTGGGAACATCACACCAAATACAAGGTGGAATAGATGGTTTAGCATAAGTAGTTAACACATAATTTAAGAAACAATTCAAGGTAAAGTGGCTAATTAACACCTCTGCAGTCAAAGGACAAAAAATACAGGTTAGAGGGTTACAGGTTGCTGTGATAAGCTGTAAATCTAATGTCTTTATTAAGACCATGATTTTTAGTGTTTAGCAAACCTATGGATTTATGCTCTGAGGCTCATCTTTTGAAAGTGTTGTGCAGGTTTCCATTGAGGATGAGGACTGATTGGTCAGATATGCAGTGATTGCTCCGTGAAAAGTGTTTGCTCACAGGCGGTGAGATACATACGGACTTGCACATAATCGGAGCCTCACTCATCATTACACAGAGCAGCAGAGTTTCCTAAATATCACTTAAATGATACATATCCAGTCTCTAATGTTAATTCACGTGTGTGGCTTTCTAGCATTTATAACTGATTTATTGAAGGCTGGCATTTGGAAAGAACTTTCCATTACTCTAATCCTCTACTTCTATACCCTATGACAGTGGTTTTCACCCTTTTTTCATTTGCAGACTGCTACAAAATTTCAAATGGAGGTGCAGACCCCATTGGAAACCTTAGACATAGCCTGCGGACCCCCAGGGGTCCATGGACCATAGATTGAAAACACTGTTCTATGGTAACAACAACCTTTCACAGACCCCTTAGACGTAGTCCGACCACAGGTTGAAAACCACTGCCCTATGACAATTGTCTCACTCTGGGACAGTTCCAATCTCCAAACCCCACTCAGTCCCCATCACACAGAACTCCACAAACTGCTTCTCCTCCACAAAGTGTACCTTAACCACTATTTATTGCTGAATCTGAACTTGAACTCTCATGGTGTCTTCCTATGAAGATCCTCTTCACTCACAGACGTAAATCCCAGGACAGTGCAGTTGCAGTGCTGTAGTGCTTTAAGTATAGACACACCATGAGCCTGTGAGTGCCTGAGGCTTGGTCTACATTAGCAACTTACGTCAGTATAACTATGTCACTCAGGCTAGGTCTACACTACCCGCCTGAATCGGCGGGTAGAAATCGACCTCTCGGGGATTGATTTATCGCGTCCCGTCGGGACGCGACAATCGATCCCCGAATCGACGCTCTTACTCCACCAGCGAAGGTGGGAGTAAGCGCCGTCGACAGGAAGCTGCAGAGGTCGATTTTGCCACCGTCCCTACAGCGGGGTAAGTCGGCTGCGACACGTCGAATTCAGCTACGCTATTCGCGTAGCTGAATTTGCGTATCTTAAATCGACCCCCCCCTGTAGTGAAGACGTAGCCTCAGGGTTGTGGAAAATCCACACCCCTGTGCAACGCAGTTATACCGACCTAACTTCACTGAAGAGCTACAGTGGCTCCGCTGCACAGGTGCAGCTGCGCCAGTCCAGCATTTTAAATGTAGACAAGCCCTCAATTCCCTGTACTTCCTTACTCCCATCTTTTTATTTGTCCAAACATACTGCAAGTTCTTCCAGGCAAATTCTTCTGTACGTACTGCACCTAACACACTGGTACCTGGATGGGGCCTCTATGCACTGCTTTCATACAAACAGGAATGGGAGTAAGATCACACAATCATCACTGGCACATTGCTACTGGCAGGGAATTGTTTAAATCCTCCAAATAACAGACTAACCAAAATGAGGGAAGTCGTGCGTAGCAACCCAATTAATTATCCTGTACACTGCACAAAGCTGTATTTTAAAAGACTCTTTAGTATTACTAAAAAAAGAACAAGAGTACTTGTGGCACCTTAGAGACTAACAAATTTATTTGAGTATAAGCTTTCATGGGCTACAGTATTACTACTGGTATTACAACTGCTAACCAATGAAATAATAAACTGACAGAGCTTTAAATAAGTTCAGTCTATTAGCTTTGACTTTCCTAGCTGCCAAGAATCAGCAGCGATGAAGAACCATTTAATACCACTAAGGCTAATTTTCTTTGCAGCTTTGTCATAAACACAGTGGAACCTCAGAGATACGAATACCTCAGGAATGGAGGTTGTTCGTAACTCTGAACAAAACGGTATGGTTCTTTCAAAAGTTTACAACTGAACATTGACTTAACACAGCTTTGAAACTTCACCATGTGGAAGAAAAACGCTGCTTTTAACCATCTTTGTTTAAATGAAACAAGCACAGAAACAGTTTCCTTACCTTATCAAATCTATTTTTTAAACTTTCCCTTTATATTTTCTAGTAGTTTACGTTTAACACAGTACTGTACTGTACAGTATTTGCTTTTTTGTGGGGGTGGGGTGGCTCTGCTGCCTGATTGCATACTTCCGGTTCCAAATGAGGTGTGTGGTTGACCGGTCAGTTCATAACTCTGGTGTTCGTAACTCTGAGGTTCTACTGTACTCCTTTTTTCCCTATTAGATGGTTAGGAGCAGCTGCACTCCAGACATGGGGATGACATGGCAGCCTCCTCATAGCCAGTAGTCACGGGTAAGGGAGAAAGGAAAACCAATACCACCCGCCACTACCTTTCCTGGGATGCTACACCTTGAGGCTGGACTCAGAACAGTGATTCTCCCAGGAGGGAGCACATGGTGCCACTAGACAAGATAGCAGTAAAGTAAAACAAGCTCTCACTGAGCCCAGGCGAGAAGCTGCCTGCCAAATCACTGCCCAACCTGTTTGGACTTAGCATAAGGGAGTTCAATGAGAGGCAAATAAGAAATAACTCAAGCACTTTCACAATGGCCCAGTCTCCATTAAGGTACTGAGCACACTCAACCACCGTGGAAGTGAAAGGACGTTAAGGGAGCTCCCATCATTGCAGGATCGAGCCCGTAGGTTGTGCAGGCAACACAATGATAGAAGATTCAAAAGCGTTTAGAATCATAGAATATCAGGGTTGGAAGGGACCCTCAGGAGGTCATCTAGTCCAACCCCCTGCTCAAAGCAGGACCAATCCCCAGACAGATTTTTGTGCCAGATCCCTAAATGGCCCCCTCAAGGATTGAACTCACAACCCTAGGTTTAGCAAGCCAATGCTCAAACCACTGAGCTATCCCTCCGCCTTTATCCTTTAAAGTGCTTCAGTCCTTCCATAGAGAGTGAACAAAAGAGCAACTATTCCAACTACTCAACAAAATGCATAAAACAGGAGACGCTCAGAGGCCAAGCCTTTCTGAGTGCTGAATGTGCCCTGACACTCTGCTAGGCCCGAGACATCACTACCCCCTCTATCCCTGCTCTGACAAATACTCCCTTTATAATCAGCAGCAGCAGAACAGAACTACAGGAGTGTTTAAGGAAACGGGAAGCGATTCCCTTCTGTAAAAGGCCAGGCAAGTGCTTGAAAGAGAGATTCTTCAGTCGGTCTTCGCAGTAAGTTCATGTAGCCCTGGTGATCCAGCTGGCTGAACGAATATTTTGGGACAAAAGGGAAGTAACAGGAACACTTGCTCCTCCAAGGCAAATGAGGTAGATTTCTAACAAAACAAGTATTTATGCTACTGGAACACTCATTTATTTCATCTGTTTTATGAAACCATATAATATGTCTCCCTGTATTGCAGCAACTCTGCTAATGACTTTCGGCTAGTTGCTTAGAGCTAATCCTCTGAAAGTTCATTCTGTAATCCAAGGATTCATCACCATGGAAACTGCTTACAATCGGTACTTTTTATAGCAAAAAAACAGCATCAACAAGAGGAATTCTAACTTGAATTGATGGAGATTTCATTCTCACTTGGCATTGCCAGATTCATTTTTTATGGTCTTTTAGTTAATTTAGGAAAGTGAAATAAAACCAAATCCACAATTAAATTTAACAAATGTGTCAGCTGGAATGATAAGCAATGGTACTACACATACCACGCCACCAGCCTTCCCCTTACACATACCACCACATCAGCACAGCAACAATCATTAGCAAGAGTCTCTCAGTAGCTATGCTGAGAGGCTAATGCAAAGAAAAATCTATAATTAGGGAGAGAGGATAACTGTGGGCTAGGGCATTGAGTAAAGCGCTGGGACTCCGCACAAACGGGTTTTGTTCGCAACTTTACCACTGATTTGTTGTGTGATCTTAGGCAAAACTTACCTGTGCATTAGTTGCCCCATCTAAAATGAAATGGGAATGCTCATCTACTTTAGGAGAAGCATTTAAGAATTATTACCCAAAATTTAGGAAATAAATCTTGTTCATCACCATTATAGGCAAGTGCTATCAAATGTGATACGGTAGATTAATACTATGGCCTAATAACACTGACCTAAACCAATGCCTAACCCTCTAGTCTGGAAGTCAGGACAGGTTGCATAGATAACAGTGGACTGCATTCAAAGAAATCCCAGCTCCCTGTATCAAGGAGTTAAGATAAAAGAGTCAGTGTCCATTAGGGGAAAAAAGGCATGAAAATTAGAAGGTCACGCCAATTACAGCTCAGCACCAATAGATTAAAAACAACATGGAATTTCTGACCACCAGGAAAAAGAAGATTAAATTAAAGAGTGCAATGAGGCTGTGCAGAATGTGAGGCATCCCAGAATCACTGATCCACCATGCACTCACTAAGGCTGGCATGGCCAACTCTGATAACCAGGAGCGCTGCTTGCGTTGCTGCCCTGAAAACGTGCTTAGACTAATTCACATTGTTTATGTGTGCTCGCCTCTATAATGCAGTTTAGGTAATAAAGCATAGGTAATAAAATGTATAGTACCTGTAGCAGCTGGGAAAAACACTCCAAAAACAGTGAAGAAGGACTCCCCCGTACTGTAGTCCGGTAGCGTGTTGTTAAACATAAGTTCTTCCGAATATCCAACAAAGCCATGTTCTGCAAACACAAGGGGTTTAAATGTAAACTATAAGAAAATGGATTTGGAATCGGATAGATGGAAATCCTTATTTACAGTCTCTCTCTCTCTCACACACACACACACAGGGTATATCTACACAGCAAAGAAAACCCCGTGGCTGGCCCATGCTAGCCAACTCGGGCTCACGTGGCTCGAGCTGCGGGGCTGTTTCGTTGCTGTGTAGCCTTCTGGGCTCAGGCTGTCCACGCAGCAATGAAACAGCCCCACTGCCTGAGCCCCGTGAGTCAGCTAACCCGGGCCAGCTGTGGGTGTCTAGTTGCTGTGTAGACATACTCTCTCTCTCCCTCCCCCGCCATTGGGGAAGTCTATTTTCCAAACACATGTGACCACACCAATTGGTTTAAGCCCTACATTGGTAATAACTAATATGAATTCAGGAAAATATGCTCAGTCCTATTTTAAATTTCTGGAGAAACTATAGCTAAATACAACGAAAATGGGCACGGTCAGATCATCAGCTGGTATAAATCCTCACAGCACCATTGAAATCCTTAGAGCTGCCTGGATTTAAGCCAGCTGAGGACAAGGCTCACAATATCTATAAAGGCTTGTCTGTATGGAGAAACTGACTGGCAGAACTACAGCAGTATAATGATCCCACTATAGCTATGCCAGTATAAAACTCTCCACTTCTAAAGCAGAGTTATTATACTGAAATAAAGTCACTTTTATTCCAGAATTGTGTCCACATGGGAGTTATAGCACTGAAGTATAATTTTACCACTATAGATCTGCCTGTCAGTTTCCCCGTGTAAAGAAGCCCTAAGTCTACAATTGACAAACATTGACTGTGAGAGTTGCCATCAATCAATACATACAATGTATCTTTAAGCACATGTTATCAATAAACTCACAGCTGAGATAAACTTGATGTACTGTAGATTAGGTCCTCTCCTGTAGGTTAGACTCAGACACAGACTGAAAAAAATAAGGCCCTATATTATAGCCAGAGACTCCCACGTCAAGTTTTATTCTTATCATCCCCACCTACATTGTTATTCTGTTGCTGCACTATGGTTTCAAAAATGTAGATGAACACATGGCTGTGCGCTATGACCAACAAAACTCCTTCCCAGATCTTCAGCAGATGTTTAAACTGGTGTGTAAACATGTATCATAATGAAAAACAAATGCCAATAACTGCGTACCTTCTGCTGTTGCTGGAGATTTCATGCTTCCCCACACCCACCTCATGCTAAGTTTTTCCAGATCACACATGAATTTTGATTTAAAAAAAAAGGAAAAGTGTTATGAAGTATGGAAAAAGGCAACTGGTGAGAGATCAGCACTGTGTAAACGATAATCTCAAAGTATCTACGAAATTTATTCCCCCCTCCACCACCCACCCACACAGTGCAGACTTGGATACCGCAAATTAAACCAGCTGAATTTGCCAGACATATTTGAGGCTGACAGCTCAAGGAAAGGTCATGGGATGGTCATAGTAAAAATGGCTCGGATCATGGAAATGTGGTAAGTAGTAAATGATGCATACAACAGACTCTATAGATAAAGTGACCATATTGTCTCAGTTGACTGGGACAGTCCTGTTTTTTCATATGGTGTCCTAGTGTTGCAGGAACTTCTTTCAGGAGACATGAACTGTACTGGTTTTTCATTTCATTAATCAAAACATTTGCTTTAATAACTACAAAATGTTTGTCCACGGCATATTATTATACCAATGAGAATTTTCCCTGTGTTTATGAGGAACTAACAGTCCAGTGGAATGAGTGTTCAGTGCAATGACCAGTGTTTCACGTGAAGAGAAAAGGTGACTGAGTGTAGACTCTATCACAGCTGTCCTTTGCCTCAAAGAGAACGTAAATGACTCTTTTGATGAGAGCTCTGCTTAAAACATCTACAAATTTTACTTCTAAAAACACAGAGAACAACAGGGCTTTGAAACCATCGCAGAAAATTCCTATGGATAATCAAAAGTGCCTACCGAATCCTCATCAGCTGGGTGGCCTTGGCATGAATGGATACTCACTGACAAAAAGCACAAAAAAAAGTCTTGCTACTATTTTTTTTTTTAAATCACAGAATCTTAGAAGTATAGGACTGGAAGGGACCTAAGTATGTCATCTAGTCCAATCCCCTGGACTCATGGCAGGACTAAGTAATAACTAGATCATTCCTGATAGGCATTTGTCTAACCTGTTCTTAAAAACCTCCAATGACAGAGATTCCACAACCTCCCTAGGTAATTTGTCCCAGTGCTTAACCACCCTGATAGTTAGGAAGCTTTTCCTAATGTCCAACCTAAACCTCCCTTGCTGCAATTTAAGCCCATTGCTTCTTCTCCTTAACCTCTGAGGCTAGGACAACAATTTTTCTCCCGTCAACATAGCGCTGTCTACACCGGGAGTTAGGTTGGTATAACTGCTTTGCACAGATTTTCCACAACCCTGAGCGATGTAATTATACTGACAAAAGTTGCTAATGTAGACCAAGCCTCAGGCACAAAGAGACTCATGGTATGTCTATACTTAAATCTTAGTCTGGAGAAGAGAAGAGTGAGGTGAGACATAACAGTTTTCAAGTACATAAAAGGTTGACTTAAATGGAAGTTTTGCCCAAGTTAGAGTTGCAGTAAGGCTGGCTGAAAATATTCTGTCAAAACTATTGTTTGATGGAAAATTGGTTTTTCAACTGAAGAATTATTTTGGGAAGTGTGTCTCTCCTATCCCAAGCATGTAGTCAAAGGAGAGCAGTAAGTACTCTAGAGCCCAACCAAAAGCATTGCTGGGAACCCTCCTTTGTATGACAATACAATACAAGAGATTGATTTATTTTTGTAGGGATTCTTGCTCAAAAAGTAAATGGCATGGTCTGTTGGTTGGCCTTATGTAAGAGGGGCCCAAACTTTGAACACTGGGGGCTGCACTGGCAATAGGCCACTCACCTGCATCTAATTTATTTATAAATGCACAGAACGTTAGCGATCCTTGTGCTTCTTCCCCTCGTTGCATCCAATCTTCCCCCTCTTTATTAGTTACGGTCACTCGCTGCAACACATCTAATCTTGGATTGCAAGACCCGGCCCCTGTATTCGTTTTGTGAAGTATCTTGTGCACTGTGGGTGTACTGTATAACAGTCATACTATTTGTTTGTTCTTCCATTTGCCTTGGCAGATGAATACAAAATGCCTATTGAGGAAGTTTATCCCTGACCAGCATCATCCTCACCCTCAAATCTGAAAGAGAGAACAGTGCTGGGTCTTATTTTATATCCTTGTGGACCATTGTGTGCCCTCGCTTTTGGATTTTGGAGGGGGTGTTAACCATTTTACCCACTGCTATTATGGTATCAGCCACAATCACAGACACACTGTATACAAACCAAAGGATGTCAGCTACAGTCCAAATAAAGGCTGAGAGCTAACTTGCTTTCAGCTTCATTTATGGCTCCTGGTGAGAAGATTTTGAGAAAAAGTCATGCCTAGAGAAGGGGTCGGTTGGATCCCTAGGAGAACGGAGGAGGCACAGGATTTAGCTCACATTGTACTCAGATCCCTCACCCACATTGTGCGGTATATTCCAAAAGGAAACAGAAAGCATCCGTAACTCTCAACACTTCTCACCGAAGGCGAGGAGAAGCTCCCTCACTGAGCTCTAAATGCTGATGTTGGAAGCTTTGTTTCTCCTCACCCTTGGACAATTTTAACAGTTGGGTTTTTTCAGTCTGAAGAAGAGAAAAAGACTCGAGTCAGCTTTGAGACGTGGGGCTCGAGAACACAGGACACACCTTAGTGGGCTGGCTGTGTGCAGAGCCTGAGGTTTCTGCCTAGCACTTTAAGATCTTGGAAAATGACTGATTTGGAGACCCTGCCAGCAAGCAGTGGTTATTTGGGGTCAGCCCATTATGCAACTACATAAAGGATATCTGCCCTGCCAAGTTTTATGCAACCTGGAGCTCATTACAAATTAGTCAAGTTTTGGCCAGATTCAAAAAGCCTACTCATAAGCTTAAAGTTAAGCAAACCCTGGCAGGGAGGCAGGACCGACCATGGAACTAAATCATGCACAAGTGAAAACTACCTTAAAGAACATTCCACCAAATGATCGTCACTTACTACACTGTACTTGTGGTTAGAGATTTACGCATAAAGGTGGATGCTGAAGTTCTTGGAAGACCGTCAGATTTAATAAAAATAAATAAACCACCACGTTTCTATTCCAAATACCACAAAGTGGTACCTGGCTTGGATTTTTCTCACTGGAACAGTCAGCAAGTTTTTTCTTGCCGGATGTTTTCTGGGGCTGACTCTAGAATGTTCACGATCCTGGAGGGTAAGATGTGGGGCTAGGGGAGCCTAGCATAACTGTACAGCGCTAGAGTAATTATCTCCTCTTCTCTATTTCTCTCCTTCTTCAATCACTAAATCCTGTCTGTTTCCTCACTGAAGTCGACCCTGTTCCTCTCCATCACCATTGCCAAAACACTTGCAAAGTCCTCAGTCTTCATAGAATCATAGAATATTAGGGTTGGAAGGGACCTCAGGAGGTCATCTAGTCCAACCCCCTGCTCAAAGCAGGACCAGGGCCAGTGCAAGGAAGTTTCGTGCCTTAGGCGAAACTTCCACCTTGCGCCCCCCCCCCCCCCCCCCCCTGGCCCCCCCCCCCCCTGCCCTGAGGCGCCCCCCACGCAGCAGCTCCCCCCCTGGGGAGCCGTGCGGCACCTCCCCACCCCAGCTCACCTCTGCTCCGCCTCCTCCCCGAGCACACCGCCCCCGCTCTAATTCTCCTCCCCTCCCAGGCTTGCGGCGCCAAACAGCTGATTGGCGCCGCAAGCCTGGGAGGCGGGAGAAGTGGAGCGGCCGCTGCGCTGGGAGAGGGAGTCTGAGCCGCACATGTCAGCGCACCGCCGGCAGCCCAGCCCAGGAACGCTGTAAAAAAAAAAATTGGGGGCACCACTTTTTGCCGCCCTCAAATCTTGGCACCCTAGGCAACC